TTTATGAGTGCTTGAAATGTTTCTTTTTTGTCATATTGTTTTGTATTCCTTACTTTTACGCTCAATGGTAGTGAGGGTGCTATTCATGAAGAAGGCATTTGTCGAAATCGGTTAATGCAAGTAGTGTTTTACTGATCATCTATTAAATATTATATACTTTATATTATATGGTAATATTATATGATATAATATATCATAGATTGACGAAAGTGAAATATCATGGGTTTATCTCTACAAAGCTGTTTCGTGAAGTAACTCAGTCTTCAGGAGATTTTGAATTATACTGAAATATCCTTGATAAATATATAAGTCGGTACGGAAGGTGTTACATAAGTGGTAGTATATAAACAGCGTATTAAGGGGGTCACTAGGGTAGTTACTAAATGTTGTTTCATCGAAAAAAGAAGAACGAGTTTGTTGTTGAAGATGTGAATAATCGGCATAATGATTTTTTTAGAAAGGGCATTTTGTAGAGGCTGCGTATATTTGTATTGAAGGATGCCCGATGAGGGTTCGGATTTTTATGTCTTTTAGGTGCAGATTATTTACTGAGTTCTGTGGATTTCTGTTTTTGCGTGACGGAAATTGGTGTATTTTTTTTGTTTTGAATTGTTTCTGTAGAGTCGGATGTGGTTTTCTTGTTAGTTTATTCTCCGCGTGTGAATCGGTGGCTGGAAATTGAATGATGATGTTGTATGCAGTATCCGTTGAGTGGACAGTTGTTTCGCTTGTCGAGTTGCATGTTTTTGTGACTGGTATTTTTTCGGAGTGGTGATGGTGTCGTGTGAATTTAGATGCGTTTGTTTGTGAATGTCAATGCTTGGCTTGAGTGTTATGCAGCTGTAGCTGAATCTTTACTTGTTTGCGGGTTGAAGGATTGTTTTTCTAGGAGTGGTTGTGTGAAAGTGTTCAAATGGGTTGAGGAATCTGTGACGATGTTGGGCTGCGTTGATTGTGCTGATGGGTTTATAGCAAAGTATGTTATTACGTTTTCTGTTTTTTGGTCAAGTTTCGAATTTGTTTCGAGTGTAGGTTGTTATTGTATCCGCTTTCGTTGGTAGTGTTTTGGTATGGTGTATCGACGTGGCTTGGTCGAGATGAGCTTGTCAGAGAAAGGTGATGAACAGACGGTTTAGTTTTAGATGCGCGATTGTGTGAGATGTTATTAGCTGTGGTTATGTGGGTGGTTTGCTCTCGCGTGACACAATATTGAAGGATGGTGTCAGCTTTGTGTATTGCTGAAGGTACATTTTTTCCAGGGTTGAGGGATGAGTTCTGAAGTGAGTATATGTTTTTTGCTCTATCGTGATGCGTAGTCCGTGTGGCTAAAATTTGACATATTTTCTTTGAATTTTCGGTGATCTTGGTTGAATTTGTGAATGGTAAGTCGGTCGTTCGTTACGTCCGAACATGATAGTGAAGCTGATTTGTAGTTTGACATGCAGGAAAGTTCCACCACTTCGCTGTTTCAGCAGCGTCGGTAGCTGCCATATGTAACATCAAAAGGGTGTTATTGTTTCTTTTCCATGGTTGATTTTTTGTGAACAGGATGGAGTTTTTTGTGCATGGATTGATGAGTTGTATGTTCGGTCAGTTGTATATTGTCGTGTTCTTGAGGAGTAAGTGGAGGTGTGTCTGTTAGGAGTTCATTCGGCGAGAATTGTGTAATAGGTAGAATTCAAATATCGAAGCTGATGAAGGTGTTGTTGTGTTTTGATTTGGGTGTTTTAACCATTCGATTACCGATGTTGTGTTCTCATGATTGAATTGTTGCGAATTGGGGATTTTTGTGGTTGATGTTGATGAGTATGTATTGATGATTTTTGCCTTTCAGCTTGGTGGGTCTGATTAGCCGGCAGCTGTTTGTTTGTGAATTTTAGTTTGTGATTTAAGTGTGATGATAGCGTTTTGAGTTGGTGTAGAGTCTACTTGAAGTTTTGGCTTGCGATGATTTGTTATTGCATGGAATTTCTTGGTGCTGGGTTGTGCTTGTTTGTAGACTTTGTGAGTTTGGTGCAGGAGTCGTTTTTGTTGCTGCTCGAGTTTGTGAAGTTGTTTCTTGTCAGCGGGGTATCAGTTTAGAGTTTCAGTCATTATACTTGGTGGTAGTCGTTATTAGTTTGTTCAGAAATGGTGTTTGAGTCTGAATTTGTTAGATTGGATATCTGTAGATTCGTTCTTCAAAAATCTTTAGTTTTCGAATGGGGGAGGGTTGGTAGATATTGAAGCCGTGTATTCTTGGTTGGTGGTCGCCTCGGGTTAGAAGAAGAAAGCTTTCCAACGTCATTCTCGCGAAAATACTGCTGTCTTTCGATTGGCGCTGTAAGGTGTCGTTTTGCGTGAGTGGTTAGGAATTAGTTTTGTGAGTAGTGAACGGTAATTTCATTGGCGGATTATGCGAGAGAGATGGACCAGCAGATATATATGATATAAGTATAAATATTAAGATAAGGGCAAATGTGCTGACAGAGGAATTCCTTGCCACAAGGGGTTTCGTCCAAATATGTTGGTAATTTGACTCTTTGTCGAGAATCGGAACTCCATTTTAAGTGCGTTCGAAAGGCTAACCATCGTCATTCCACTGGAGACCACGCCCAATGAAGTATTGTGTACCAAACGATGTTGTTATTTGTGTCGATTTACAACAGAATTTAGCGGTAAGTGTTCAAAAATTTATTTATTTTAGAATGTGATTATTCCGGGTTTTTTTGAATTATATTTTAAGGCGCGCCAATAATATGTTCTAATTCAAGGGTGGTCAGAGTTATTTCTTTTGGGGAAGTTCAGAAAAATAGTATCTCGAAAATGAGTCGTGGCACACAACTAATGCAAACCACATGTGAACGTACTAAAATGGCGATGTGTATTTCTAAAGCTCAAAAATACATTTGTGAAATTGGAAAAAATATTTCTGTGTTTGAAGGAATATGGTCCTCATGGAAACAGTCGAATCTGCTGTATAAGCCTGCTATTAGGCTCAAAGAAAGTTTGTTAGGTTGTAGTACACGGAAGACTGCACAGACAATGAACTTACTTGTCGGGTCTTCTGGTTCATGTCTGCGTTGTTGTTCAGTGATGTTAGGAGAAAATGTTAGACAAAAAGCTATATCATTCTATTGCTTGGCGTCTTGTGAGAGGAAGCTTGTATGTAAGGAGAAATTATTTAAGACTATTGTTCGTCTGTGTTAATTACATTTGAGTTATAATACGAAATGTGCATTACAAATGCATCGGCGCTATCCGGAAAATGATGGGGAACAGGATCATCTATTCTAGCCAAAGAATGTGACGGACATGCTGGTAGTTCTTTGTCCTATGGTCTTGGTTACGAATACTGAGGCAAGGGTTCTGATGGTTTATCTAGCGTTTTCTAGTTCCTCGGTTGATGTATATATATATATATCATAGATTGAAGAAAGTGAAACTACATGGTTTATCTCTACAAGCCTGTTTCGTGAGTAACTCACTCTTCAGGAGATGTTGATATACTGGAATATTCCTCGAATAAATAGATAATACGGTACAGAAGGTGTTACATAATGTGTAAGGTTATACAAAAGGTAAATTAGGGGCGGTACATAGAGGGATTTAGGTGTTACATAATAGTGTTTTGTTTCTATGGCGGCAAGAAGATACGAGTTCGTTTCGTTTGTTGAGTGTTGATAATTCGGGGTGGCAGATAATGAGGGTCTTTTCTTTAAGACAAAGGCTGCATCTTTTGTATGAGCTGCTGTAGGATGGCTTTATTGAGAGGATGCGCCAGGAAATGGAGTGGTCGATTTTATTGTCTTTTAGGGTCCAGATGTATTTACTGAGTTCTGTGGAATTTCTGTGTTTTGCGTGACGGAAAGATGCGGTGTGATTTCTGTATCTTGTCTTGAATTCGTTTTCTGTAAGTCCGATGTATGTTTCTGTAGTTTCATTGTCTCTGCGTGTGACGGTGGCTTGGTAAATGACTGATGATTGTAGGCAGTTCCCGTTGAGTGGACATGTGTTCGCTTGTCGGCAGTTGCATGTTTTGTTGACATTGGTATTTTCCGGGGTGGTGCTGGTGTCGTGTGACTTTAGGATGCGTTTGTTGTGACTGTCAATGGCTTGCTTGATGTTGTTCATGCAGCTGTAGCTGATCTTTAATGTGTTGCGGTTGAAGATTTTTCTGAGTTTGTGGTCTTTGTGGAAATGTTTGTCAATGAGGTTGAGGAATCTGTGTCCGATGTTGGTGCTGACGTTTTTGCTGAATGGGGGGTTATACCAAAGTATGTACGTTTTCTGTTTTTTTCTTGTGGTATTCGAAGTTGGTTCGTAGTGTAGGGTGTATTTGTATCCGCTTTCGTTGAGTGCTTTTTGGTATGGTGGCGTGGCTTGGTCGAATGATGCTTTGTCAGAGGAAAGTGATGACAGACGTTTGTTGATGCCGATTGGTATATGTTTTGCTGTGGTTATTGGGTGGTTGCTCTCGCGGTGGACATATTGAAGGATGGTGTCAGGCTTTGTGTATGGCTGGAAGGTACCTTTTTTCAGGTTGAGGGTGACGTCTAGGAAGTTGATGATCTGTTTGTTGGCTTCTATCGTGATGCGTAGTCCGTTGTGGCTAAAAATTTGACATATTTTCTTTTTGATATTTTCGGTGACTCTTGGTGGTGAATTTGAAATGGCTAGTCCGTCGTCTCGGTATAGTCCAACATTGATGTCGAGGTGTTGTAGTTGTGACAGCAGAAAGCTTCCAACCAACTCGCATGTTTCAGCACCGTCGTAGCTGCCCATTGTAACATCAAACGTGGTGTTATTTTTCTTTTTCCATGGTTGATTTTTGTGAACAAGGATGGAGTTTTTGGCATGAATGATGATGTTACGTTCGTCAGTTGTGATATTGTCGTAGTCTGAGGCGAAGTGGAGTGCTCTGTTTAGGAGTTCTTGGCTGATTGAAGGGTAGAAGTCTACAACATCGAAGCTGATGAAGGTGTTGTTGTGTTTGCTTTCGGTGGTTTTAAACCATTCGATTACCGATGTTGTGTTCTTCCATTGATTGAATTTGTGCGAATTGGTGATTTTGTGGTTGATTCGATCGAGTATCGTCTTGCTGATTTTGCCTATCTCAGACTTGGTGGGGTTGATTAGCCGGCAGGCTGGTTTGTTTGTGAAGTTTGGTTTGTGATCTTTAAGTGTGATGAATGCGTCTTTGTTGGCTGTAGAGTCTACTCTGTCGTCGATACCCAGTTTTGCTGCGATGATTTTGTTTTTTGCATGGATTTCCTTTGTGGTGCTGGGTTGTGCTTGTTTGTAAGACTTTGTGATGTTTTGGTGCAGGAGGTCGTTGTATGTTGCTGGCTCGAGTTTGTAGAAGTTTGTTGTTTTGTCAGCGGAGGTAATCAGTTTGGTTTCGTCATTGATGCGTTTGGTGTCGTCTTTAAGTTTGTTCAGAAATGGATTGTTGAGTTGCTTGAATTTCGTTGATTGGATCATCTGTAGCATGTCGTCTTCAAATTCTTTTAGTTCTTCGATGGGGGGAGGGTTCTTTGTAGATTTGAAGCCGTATGTATTCTTGGTTGAAGTGGTCGCCTCGGGGTTGAGGAAGAAGAAAGCTTTCCAACGCATTCTCCGAAGAAACTGCTCGGTCTTTTCGATTAGGCGCTGTAGGTAGTCGTTGCGTGATGGTAGAGGAATATTCTTTGTTGAGTAGTCGAAGGTGAATTTCTCCATTGCGGATTATCGAAGAGTGACAGACAGATATATATATATATATATATATATATAATCATAAGGCAAATGCTGACAGGAGGAAAATTCTTTCCACAAGGGTTCTGCCCAATTGTATGGTACCACTCTTGGTCGGAATCGAACTCCAGTTTAATGCTTCAAAAACCCCCGCTCATTCCACTGAGCCAAACGGCCCAATGAGATTTTGTACCACGATTGTTCTTTGTGTCATTTACACAGACATTACGTAATGTCTCAAAAATTTCATGTTTTTAGAATGTATTTCCGGGTTTTTTTTGAATTAATTTATAGACGCGCCAAATAATATGATCTATCCAAGGGTGTCCAAAGTTTTCTTAGTGTGGGCCAAATGCAGAAAAATTAGCAAAATGGCCGGGCCACACACTACAGGCAACACATTGACACGACAATGCGATGTGTATTTCTAAACTCAAAATACATTTTTGTGAAATTGGAAATAAATATATTTCTGTAGTTTGAAGGAATATGTCCTCAGTGGAAACAGCGATGCTGTGTTATAAGGCCTGCTGATAGGTCAACAGAAGTTTGTTGGTTGATACACGAAGGACTGCACAGACATGACTATTCGTCTTCTGGTTCATAGTCTGCTTTTGTTCAGATTTAGGGGAGAAAATGTTTAACCAAAAAGGCTCATCATTCTATTTGCTTGGCGTCTTGTGAGAGGAAACTTGTATGTAAAAGAAATTTTTATGACCATTTGTTCGTTGTTATCACCATTTGGTTATCACATACAAATACCACAATGCATCGCGCGCTAACCGAAAGATGGGAACGGGGAATATCTATTCTACAAGAATAGTACGCAATGCTGTGGAGTCTTTGTCCTATGGTCTTTGGTTTAGAATACTAGGGCAAGGTCTGTGGTTTCATAGCGTTTCTGTTCCCTCTGGTTGATGTAGGGGTATTTATTGGCTCAACATAGCGTGGGTATGACTTGCCTGGTGAAGCATTATTTTCAAGAGTGCTGTTCGCTTTTCCCAAAACATACAAAAACTAACCCATAAAGCCTTAATTTTTCCTTTTGCAAAAATTTGCTTTTTTCGGTATAAACCTGATTGTTTTTTAGTCTCTTTCTCCAGCATCATGAAAATTTCTCATATCTTTGGACATATTTTCTGCTATTAACGTTTTAATGCTTTTAGGTAGGACTGGTGCATCGGCTTATAGTGCGCAAAAATACTTTTGTTGTCCATTCCCTCCCTAATATCATGTATATTTTGGGTTGTTGTGTAACTACTATAGTTACCTCTTCCTGTTAGAGTTGGTAGGTTGAGCAATTTGCACCGTAGCCTCAACGATTGACTTCTTGATGTTTATGACATGTTGTTCTGAGTAAGCACCTCTGCTGTATAACTTGCATTGCAACCTCTGCCTCGAGTTAAAAAATTAATCTTCATTAGATGTGAAGTCACTTTCCCATTCACTGTCGCTTTCTGCTTCAATTTCATTTTCCTCTGCAGTCTGCACTTTCTTCATGCTCCATATAATCTTCCGTGGCGTAGGAAGCATCTGGAAGGTGGGGGCACAGGAACTTAAGGGCACTTTAATCAAACTCTTTGTTCTAAGAACCGCGCCCAAACATGAATAAAATTTTCTTAGAAAAGTGAAAATAAAATATAGAACTAATGCCTTATAGAATATTAAGAGCGTTAAAATTATTTCTAATATTTACAAAAAAATATTGTCTTCTTACGTTTTGTCTTCTTTTGCTATCTCAGCTATATCTAATTTATCTGTTCTGTGATTTGTATATTAAGAATAAGTAAATTGTTACATCTCTTCTCAGTCATTGTTCTCCTAAGACAAGAATTCAATCTACTTTGGACCGAAAATAATTTTTCTGCTGGAGATTCACACGTAGAGGCTGATAGATAAATATTGGTGTGCATCTGGAAGTAGCATCTGTACACTCCGCGTCGAATTTAAGTGCCCAGCAAAATTATTTCTTTCTAGAATCGTCAACTTTCGGATAATCCCTAAAGGGTTCCATCAGCCTGCTTTGAGGCAATTAGGACCATCTCCTGAACAAGACCACGCGAGATTCGGTAGCCCTGTGGGAAAACTGAAAGAAGAGGTCTCCTGCAGGCAAAGCGAGCAGAAAATTTCTGTGACCATGCCCTTTAGATAAGCTCAAATAGATTTCAGAATATTTCTTGCAGTCATTTCCTTGCAATCGGTTGAAACTTTTCAATATTCTTTAGACATACTTTCGTTAACTTTTGATTGATTCCATTCATTACTTTTTTGGGCCCCCTAGACCCTGGAAAACTCAGGCAATTTGGTCTCTAGACAACGAAATTCGCCAATGTCGAAATGTTAAATGCCCCTTCAGCCATTCTTTGATTATCAGGTTCTATGAGGATGTTCCCTTTTGACTTCAATAAACATACATGTGCGCCCGGCATTATTTCTCAGCAAAGTCCACTGCATACAGAGACGGGCAAAGGGAAGGGAGGTCCTTGCAGGGTAAGACAGAATGTGAGTAAATATCACTTGTTTCATATTTCTTGAAAATCCAAGGCACAATCTCTATTATTTCGGTGGTAAAAGGCACGTTTTTAAAATTTTGAGAGCACTTTTTAACATTCATGAATGTTTCAAGAAAGCAGTGTCTCAAGAAGAATTTTTTCAAATTCACCTGATAACAAAATGCTGACATTAGGAAATACTGAATATGTTTATATCAATTGAAAGAGGTCTTTGAGATATTGCATTTCATGCAAGTTGGATCGTCATATATCGAATAACGATCAAGCTATGACTAGTTAAACCCTGGAAATTTTAAAGGTCTCGTGATTACAAAAATGCTGACTTAAACAGATATTGAATATGTATCTATCAATCGAATTTCAATGCAAGCGTCTAAAAGCAATGCAGTTTAACTCGGACGAAATGAGTACAACAAGGAAAGGACCAAAGAAACTGAGAGGGCCTTCAAGAAACAAAGGAACAGATGCGTTAAACTTCTACGCGAAACTAAACGCAACTATTACCAAAATCTTGATCTCAAAAATCTCGGTGACAGTCGAAGGTTTTGGAGAATTGTGAAGCCTGTCTTTTCTGGTAATGTCCATACTTCTTCTAGCGTGACTCTGCTGGAAAATGACAAAGTTGTTTCTGATGGTAGGGCTGTTGCTGATATCTTTAATGATTATTTTGTAAACATTGCAGGCTCTCTTGACATTGCAGACGCTGATTTGAACTTATTATTAACGGATGGTAGTGATGATCCAGTTGATATCGCAGTGAGAAAATAGTTTGCATCCAAGTATTAAAAGAATACAAGAGAACTTTCATCATTCTCAGATTTTTGAATTTACACCCGTTTCAGTAGTGGATGTAAACAATCAATTAGAAAGATTAGATCCAAAGAAAGCAACTCCTTTAGAGAGTATCCCAGGTAAAGTCCTGAAAGAAAACTCAGATATCTTTCTACCTTACCTGACAGATACTTTAAATTTGTGCCTATCAGAAAACTATTTTCCTAACAAGCTAAAAGATGGAGATGTTTCTTCACTTTTCAAAAAGGATGATGCTTTCTTTAAAAAGAATTACAGGCCAATTACTGTCTTGCCAGCGAGTTCAAAAATCTTTGAACGACTATTTTACGACCAGGCAATGCCCTTCGCTGGAATTTTTTGTCGTCTTTGCTTTGTGGCTTCAGGAAAGGCAACAACACACAGCACGCTTTACTAAGATTGTTGAAACTTGTAAAATGACCCTAGACAAGGGAGGCATTGCAGGTGCTTTATCGATGGATCTATCCAATACCTTCGACTGAATAGACAATAATTGTTGAAAGCAAAATTGCATGCCTATGGTTTTGGTAGAGGTGCCCTACTCATGATTCACAGCTATTTGTCACAAAGGAGACAACGAGTTTGAATTAATGGGTCATTTAGCACTTGGAAAGTAGTTCAAAACGGAGTCCCACAAAAATCAATGTTAGGGCCTCTCTTATTCAACGTTTATATGAATAACCTTTTTCTTTTGATGAATAGATCCGAAATATGCAACTATGCAGACGATACCACTATCTACATATGCGACTCTGAGGCCAAAAATGTCATTGATGGACTAGAACAAGATGCCAACCAACTATCAACCTGGTATCCTGAAAACTATATGGAATTAAATGCGGACAAATGTCATTTTATGATTTTTGGCGAGAAGAAAGAAAAGATGATATTAAATGTAGGAAAGGCGGTAATAGAAGAAAGTGACGAAAAAACATTACTGGGAGTTACACTAGATACAAAACTTAACTTCAAATCTCATGTGCAGACTCTTTGTAAAAAGGCCAGCCAAAAACTGCATGCTCGCATTTCGATTTTCATGGAATCCAAAAAAATAAAACTGATGATGAACACTTTTATAATGTCACAATTCAGTTACTGCCCATTAATTTGGATGTTCCATGACAAAAATATTAATAACAAGATAAACAGGATACAAAAAGGGCCCTTCGAATCGGATACAAAGATAACATTTCTCCTTACGAGAAATTGTTAGAAAATGATATTTCGGTATCTATACATCAGAAGAACCTACAGTTGCTCATGGTTGAAATTTTACAAAACAAGGAATCACTTGAATCCCTCGTTTATGATGGAAATGTTTGAGGAAAAGGCAATGCCGTATCAACTAAGAAGCTCGAGCAATTTAAACCTACCAAAAGTGAGAACCACATGCTATGGTACAGATACCGCAAGGTTCATTGGTCAAAGAATATGGGCAAACAGTCTCTTTGACTGTTTTTAAAAAACATCTTAAGAAAACAAAATGCAAAAATTGCAACTGTAGGATTTGCAAAACTTTTATATATGGTTTAGGTTTTTTGTAATTATTATGTATTTCCTTTGTATACACCTTTTGTAAATGGTTGGCTTTTTTTTTAGCTTTTTCGAACAGCCAACTTTAAATCAAAGTATTAATAATAATTAATAATAATAACAGAACACAGGAAAATGCCCCTTTATGAAAATACTTTCTTCTTTCTACTTATTACTTATAAACAACCCGATTCAGAGAAGATATCAATTACTATCAAAATAGATTAAACACTAGGCCTCATTAGAAAATGCAGCATATCATTTAACAAGATGAAGCACCAAGAAAATGAATAAAGGGTTTCCAGTCAAGAAGAAATGTTACTACACAGGACCCGTTAGAGTAAACTTTCCGAAGTTGCGTTAGAGTAAATATTCTAAAAAATTGCTCACCAATGACTGCAAAAAAGGGGGTTATAGCCCCTGTAGCCCAATGGCTGCGCGGTGCCTGTTTTAATGAGTCCTAACTGTATCCCTTCCACTTCTTCTGCATCTACCAGGAAGTAGGTCCACTTCGCCACTTGAATTCTATAATAAGAAATGCAATGACAGACATATTTTTCCTTCTTAGCAGAAAGGTCAACCTTAGGTTTTGTAGCTGTGTCTAAAACAGGCGGAGCTTTACACAAAAGGCTTTCATGTGTATGGTATACAGGAATATCACCAGCTGTTCTTTGCCTTTTGAGGTCTTGTTCAAGAATTCGAATGATCCAGTCATCATAAGACAGGCCCGTCAAGACCGGGGGGGCTGGGGGGTGGAGCCCCCCCAATAATTGTCAAGCTGTAGTATGTTTCCTTTATAACAGTGTACTGAATGAGGAGGAAAACAATGGGCAGCCCCCCCCCCCCAATGGCACTGTAAGATGAATCAATTGCTATTAACACTAAGTGTGGGCTGTATTTAATTTCATTTTCAAAACTTGTTGCGGGCCAACGAAAACTGGAACGCGGGCCGGAGTTTGCCATTTTCTTTCCTATCCGCTCTATTGATTTGCAATTTACTGTAAATCCTCGAATTAGCACCTCGGGCGCTGGCTTCTTAGGGACCGCATACACGAAAGGGCGCATATTTGAGGGGGGCTTTCATTAGATTTTTAATGTCAACCACCTCAAACAGTAACAGTATGATAATTTACAGAAACATATCGTAGTACATCAGAAAGAAGAAAACAGAAAAAGTAACAACAGGACTAAGTTAAGGTTGATTAAAGATAATAATTGTTTTTCATGTATTTGTTTTCACCAAGCATTCAAATGTAGTTTTTAGGACATTGAAAAGCTATGCATATCGAGGAGTGTACTGGTCCTTTCTTTCGATGTGACCACACTTAGTTATTCCAATGCCAGGGCCATCCTCGCACCTCAAAGTTTGAAAAGAAAGGTGAAATCAAATGTAATAAAGGACACCTACTGCTCAAAGTAAGTTAAATATGGTAAACTGGAAAGCAAGTTGCAGGGACAGATTTAAGCAACAATGATTGGGGGTTTTGGACACTAATCTTGGTGCCACACCCTTCAGGTCACTGGTAAATGGTTACATTCTTTGAAAAGATTGGCAAGATTTATGGGTGACAGAAAAAAAGATAGTTATGAATTCATTTATACTATGTCACTTCAATTATTGTCCATTGATATGGATGCTATGTGGTAAAGGAAGTCATGATAAGCTAGAGAAAATTAACGAGAGGGCTTTAAGACTAGCCTATTCGGACTATTCATCTTCGTACAAAGATTTACTTGCTAACTCAAAAGAAACTACCATACATGTCCAATCAGTTAGAATTTTAGCGCTCGAAGTTTATAAAACACTTAAAAACCTTAATCCTGTTTTCATGAAAGACTATTTTGTACACAAAACAACAGGTCATAACCTTCGATTCAAAAACCCCCTTGACATTCCAAAAGCCAGAACTACCAATAATGGTATCAGATCATTCAGTTTTCAAGGGCCTAAAATCTGGAATTAACTCCCGGAATCAATAAAGACAGCACAAAATAGACAATTTAAGAATTTGATCAAAACTTGGTTCCTTGAAAACAAGTGCGCATGCTCGTTTTGCGGTAAATGAACTGTCTTATGCAATCCTTGAAATTGCTTCATGTTAGTCTTAATTAGTGTATATTCACTATTGTAAAAACTAACGTTAAATAATCTACAATACAATACAATACAACTTTAAGGTAAGGAAGATAAGAAGCAGTGGCATAGACAAGTTATGAAGATTAGAGGAGCAAAGAGGAGAAAATGTTTCCTGACCACACCCTTCAGAATTTCGGGAAAACACCCTATTTTGTTAATGTGTTTGGAAAAGCTATGGCGTTTTTACGTAGCAACGGTTGGCTAATCAAACACAATTACCATCATATGTAGCTTTTTTTAGCTGACCACATCATACAACTGTCTATTTCCTTCACAATACCTCTAACGTTTATATTCTGAATTGTGTGAGGCAAGGAAGCTCTACGTGTGAAAACTGTTTTTCCAAATTTGTAATCAAATATCTAAAAATAATAAACAGTTGTCAAAAGTTGCAAACTAAGGCGTAGTTTAGATAGCGCTTTATGGGCGCAGCGAATTAAATTATTGACCATAAAATATTGTGAGTGTCAATTTAATGCGATCTTAATTCGCTGACTAAATCCGAGAGCGAAGCAAATAATTGAATTCGCTCATAATGCGCTCACTTGGGCGCATTATCAGCGCGTTAGGAATCAAAATATGAATCAATTCAATTCGCTTCGCTGTCTAAAAGCAAACAATAAATTGAAGCGTTCTACGGGCACATTTTGAGCGCATCTAATTGAATTTAATTCGCTGCGCCCATAACGCGCTGTCTAAACTACGCCTAAGTCTGTTCTCCTTGGAGCAAAATCGCAGACAAGCATTTCAGAATCCAGGTTTTTTAAAGATTGAAGCGCTTTAGCATTATAGTTTCTATTTGATCGGGAATATCTAAAGAACTTCAAGGACTTTTTTTATATAAACCCTTAAATGCGGCGAAAATTCGTATGTGTTCGTATCGATGTGTCTCCGTATCGATGTTTCTCCGTATCGATGTGTCTCCGTATCGATGTGTCTCCGTGTCGATGTGTCTCCGTGTCGATGTGTCTCCGTATCGATGTGTCTCCGTGTCGATGTGTCTCCGTATCGATGTGTCTCCGTATCGATGTTTCTCCGTATCGATGTTTCTCCGTATCGATGTGTCTCCGTGTCGATGTGTCTCCGTGTCGATGTGTCTCCGTATCGATGTTTCTCCGTATCGATGTTTCTCCGTATCGATGTGTCTCCGTATCGATGTGTCTCCGTATCGATGTGTCTCCGTATCGATGTGTCTCCGTATCGGTGTGTCTCCGTATCGATGTGTCTCCGTATCGATGTGTCTCCGTATCGATGTTTCTCCGTATCGATGTGTCTCCGTATCGATGTGTCTCCGTATCGGTGTGTCTCCGTATCGATGTGTCTCCGTATCGATGTGTCTCCGTATCGATGTTTCTCCGTATCGATCTGTCTCCGTATCGATGTGTCTCCGTATCGGTGTGTCTCCGTATCGATGTTTCTCCGTATCGATGTGTCTCCGTGTCGATGTGTCTCCGTATCGATCTGTCTCCGTATCGATGTGTCTCCGTATCGGTGTGTCTCCGTATCGATGTTTCTCCGTATCGATGTGTCTCCGTATCGATGTGTACATTTTCAGATTAATCACTCCATAAATCTTCAAAAAAACCAAAATGAACTTTCTTACCCTTCAGTACTGGCTTTTTTCTACGTGTGCCTTTGAGTTGCTCTCTTGTTGACTGTTGTGCATATGGAAATAAAGCGGATTTGATATGAGAATATGTTTTAAGATATGGTTAATTTTCACCTGAAGTTACTAAACATTTTTGTATTTAAAAACAAATCCAGAAGATCATATGTGCCTCCTGTGATTGTACTGCTATAAACAATGACTTTTGCTCTAACCACGAAAGTATTTGCTCGGCAAATGCCCTGCCACCGTATAATCTCTTTCTGTGACGAAACCACTTAAACACCGCATTGTGAAAACCCGTTATGTTTTGGTGACGTAATAATGTTATTTAAGGATTTTATTTATTTAAGGAGATCGCAATTCCTGTTGAAAGATTACATTGATATATTCTAGATAAAGATAGTCCCAGTTACGCCCGCTACGCGGGCACGCTGCAGCCCTTACAGCCGTGAGGGTAAATTTCCCTCAGCAATGACCACAATTCAGTTAAAACCCCCTAATGAATGATAGGAAAATTAGCCTTGGTAAAAACAAGAATTCTATCAAAGCCCCCAATGAATTATTCTCGGATTCGAGCAATTTGAGCAAAAATGGATAACAGAATTGGAACCTTCATGTTTTTTTCTTTTTTTCTTTATTTAAAGTTGGTACATTAGTTGGTATTTAAAGTTAATATAACCGATGTTGCTAACATATTCCTTGCAAAGATTACAAGTACAATTAAACGATGTAAATTCTGAGATTTTTTTCTTGAATATTGATAAAGTAGGGGAGTACTTTATCTCATTTGGAACTGAGTTCCATATTTGGCTACATCTGTATGATACGGTATTAAATCCATATATTTTGTAATGTGGCTCCGCTGTTTTGAATTGGGAGTTTCTTAAGTAATATGGGCATTCATTTATGGAAAATATTTCATCCATAAAAAGTTGAAATTAATCTGTGCCAAAAATTTCAAATTGTTTGGGCCGTCAGGCTGTGAATTACCTCATTTTCAAAATTTAGCTTTTCCTATGCATTTCAATGGAATTTGTTGCGGTAGTGAATTTTTTTCACTGCAGCAGCAAGTTTGGGTCAACTCTAAAGAAAACATCTCAATATTCGAAATAAAGTAAAATGCGACCGAACGGTCCAAACAACATGAATTTTTCAGTATAAACTAATTTAAAGATGAAGATTTCAATTCTGAAGTCCATTTTCGAAAAAGATCCATAGATAGCGAGATACAAAATTGATGACGTCAACTTGAATCCATCAATAGGAAAATTAGCCTTGGTTAAGACAAGACAAGACAAAAAGCGTCTAACCTCTATCTCAAATTGAATGGACTCGCCACATAGGGGTCACGTGATAAAAAGCAGCTTGCTCTGCTAAAAAATGTTGGTATAAAAATTCACTCGCACTCCTGTGACTATCGCTAGGAAGGGGGTCGCCTTAAATAGAAAGGGGGTAGGGGCTCAAAAAGGTGTAAGCAGTGTAATTGCTAGCTATTTCGCTCTAGGGAGGTGTTCAGGCCTCATTTGCCAACAAAGTGACAACATAATTTTACAACTTTATCTGACAGTTGACTCTAAACCCTTTACCTGACAGTAGACTTGAGGGCAACAGTGTTCAGTGGCGGTTTTAAGGGGGTTATAGGGGGGCCATTGCTCCAGGTCCGCACTTATGTCAGCCAAAAGAGACCCCACACCTAAGAAAAAAGATGGAAATTGTTAAGAACAAGCACCGGGTCCCGTAGTCCCTAGAACCGCAACTGACAGTGTTAATTCTTAAACTTTAAAAGCGGAAACCAAAAGTCTTTTTGCAAATGCCCTAATTTCCTTTTGGTAAAGTAATTTCTTCCAGGTGGAAGCATTGTGGTCAACAATACTTATTTTCAATACTTATTATAGAAAGCATTTAATAACTTATTTTCGTCAAGAACTCAAATAATTGGTCACAAAAAAATTTTATACTAGTCTTTTGAAAATAACAGATTCTCAAAGATCATTATCATTAGATCAGAGACATAGAGAGGTCAAACAGAGACCCATAACTTTTTTTGAAGATTCTTCATTATGTATATGAAATCATTGAAATTGTTCACAGACTCCAAAATAATGATAGGAAATTGCCAATACACGGAAAATTGATACCTCAATAAAAGGTTTCCCAGCACAGAATTCGTCCAAGCAAACATGTGCTCCCTTGTTAAGGAAGCTGTGATCGCCGAAATTTCTTGAATTTTAACAAGGAGGTTTAAATGGGCTGTTTCGACTGGGCTAGCCCTAGGTACAAAATATTAATAAATAGAATCCTTGATGGAAAGGTGGATAAGAAGGATATGCCACACTGAAGATCATCGGGAGTTGGGATGTCTCGCAAACAGGGCCATCAGACCACAGAGAGGTAGAGTGATTGTCGATCGAATAGTGATTATCTTTTATGGATATCAGCCACAACATAATTTGGAATTCTAGTTTTAACACAAGTTTTTTCCAAATTGTAGTCTCTAGGAAGAGATGTGGAGAATCGACTTTTCTTTCCATTTGCGTGGGTCTGAGAGCCTTTTCGCTTACCCAATATCTTTTTAGGGTTGTGACAAGGGCATAGACGGCAAACAAGATAAATAATGTTTATTAGTGAAAAATCTTGGTTCTATCTGTTTATCTTCTGTCCAACTGTACCACTTTTGCGAGTATCACAAAGTCATTATTTCAATCACTTCAGCATCTACAACCTTGAAAATGGTGTAATGCAAGAATTGTTAAGTGCTTTAAAACGAACGGGCATCGTAACCTGGTCAAGATATTCCGAAAAATAAATCATTGAAATTATGATTTGTACCATATGAGTGATAACAATGAATTTCCAGTGCAGCTTCCACTCTTGCATTATGGGTATATGATACAGATCGGCTTGAATCTTAACGGCAATAGTATTGAAAAAAAAGTCAATCGAAGCTGCCACACCTATTCTCTTCAACGCCTGGTAGAATAGCTCGTACCCATTGTACCTTTGACCGCTGGTTTCATCTCGCATGTAATAATACATTGTTATGTATACAGATGAGCAACTCAGTATTACGGCAGCTGTTTCAGTCACCATGCCTATCAGGGTCTGATCTGCGAGAAACACTGGAGAACTTGTAGTTTCTCGTTTGAGGACGAATTTTGTAATCTTGTTGCGAATAGGCAAGGCAAGTTTATCAAATACGTTGAGAATACCATGGACAATACTGATGGCTACAAACCCAACGAAGCTTTCGTTACTTGCTTGTACCATTCGGGCAACTAATGTTGTTGAAACCTGAAGGCCAATAACTAGCATCGTTCCTTTTTCAAAGCATTTATATTTGGCCAAGTTACCAATTATTATGTTTGTAATGAATTTGGAGATGGCGAAGATGACTGGCAAAAGAGAGCACATAAATGTCTTAATTGATTCGCTCGTTTTGTGATACATTGTAAGGAAAATATGATTAAACAGCAGTGACAGTACCATTCCTGTAATAAACTGTGTACTGAGTTTTGAAGACATCAGAAATACATCCAGCTTGCTTTTTGGATTCCTCAAGTATTGCATTGCAACTTTAGAATGATTTAGAAACATAATACCAAAAAACACTATGTTGCCAACTATCGTTTGCCATCCTTGACCATAAAAGCCATATGCGAAAAAGAAAAGCCTGAAAATGACATCGACACTTGCTGCGATTACATTCCAGTATGGTATGGCCATCTTTTTGGTGGCTGACCATGATATCTGCGGGGCCAGGCAAGATAACGACCAGAACTGGATGAAAAACGATTCAACAACCTCAGTGGTTAAACGCATTCGCTGAAATGCCACTGGAATATCATCCCATGATTTACCAAAGCAGTATGAGCTTAAATTCAAGTCGAGCCACCAAATAAGGACTGCAATTAAACCAGCAAAAGTGGCATTTATAGCAGTCGTTTGCATGCCCAGATTCAGAAAGGTTAAAATGGAACGGCACAGTTTAGGCGATGGTCTGTCGGCCTCGGTTTCAGTTTCGGGCCTCTCGGCTTTCTTGCGCCCTAAGAGCGGACTTGTTTCACAGTCTCCAACATCCACGATATATTGCGACTTTCCAGACAGCGTTTTCATAATTATTTTCAGCTATCTGTTTTTGTATCTGCAATTAACAAAAAAATATAAAATTGGATCCTATTTAATTGTCACGGTAAAGGAGGGGGGGCGGCAGTACTTATTGGAATAGAAGATAGACATATTTGTGAGCCCTAGCTGCTGGTAAAAATAAATACTTTAAAAGAACAGTTGACCTTGTTTCAGTGTCGTCTTAGCAAGGTTTATACGTGTCCTTCTTTAAAAACGTTAGATCTGACCTTTCTAGAAACCTATTTCCATAATTTTCTTAATTTTAATCTTGCGTTATTACGGGCAAGTAAGTTCCTGCTCTAAGCCTTTCGGGTGTCTTCTCTTGGGGTGTGATTTTCATATGCACATGCGTTCCATAATGAAGGGAAGGTTCGTTGCGGTGTAAGGGGAGAGCCGAGGGCTAGAATAAAAAGAAACCATGAGCTAGAACTGAGAGAAAAAAAGAAGAATTTCGTTGTCATAGGGGCTGGAAACCTTACTACTATAGTGTCTCTAAAAGACGGGCCCTCCTTGTATTAATTTCAGAAGAATTTGCCCTCCCCCCGTCGCTTATTAGCACCCCCTTCCAATAAATTTTACAAATCTGTCATGACCAGAACACGCAATCTTCACTTGTTAATAATTCCCCTTGTTATGTTATGTAGTTATTTTTTTAATTGTCATAATTCCCCATGTTATGTTTTTCTATCTTTATCTCTAACCATCCTACTAATTGCACTGCCTTTTAATTAAAAGATTTACCAACATCCACTCCTTCTATTAGCTCCCCTTTGCAATTGAACATTGCTGACATTTTTTGAAAATTGGCCAACCTGAACAGCCCCTCCTATTAGCAACCCCCTTCTATTGAAAACTGGTCGACATGAACACCCCCTTTCTATTCGCACTCCCCTTCTTTTGAACATTGGCCAACCTGAACACCCCCTTCTATTAGCAATCCCCTTCTATTGAAAACTGGCCGACATGAACACCCCCTTCTATTAGCACCCCCTTTTATTGAACATGGAACACCCCTTTCTATTCGCACTCCCCTTCTATTGAACATTGACTGGAATGAACAACCTCCCTTCTATTACCTCCCCCCTTCTATTAGAGACACTAGAGTACATCACTATAGAAATACAAAATCAACTGCATATTCGCCTCGTTTTAAGGTTTGCTCTTGTTTTGAACATCATACCTTTAACGAAAGGGTACGAAAATCGAGTGATTTCAGTTCTCAGCTTTTAGTTCTTCATTTTTTATTGATTCTATTGTAGATTATTAGACTAGTGATATTTCAGAATACATTATGCGTAACCCTACCCTGGGTACCAGACTCACTATATAAAATAATAGAGAGTCTGTCTGGTCTAGTGCGCCCCATTCTCGTTCTGGTGTGCTGATATTAACCAATCAGGAGCGAGTGTACAGATTTCTGTACGTTCAAAGGTCACGGCGAAACAATAAACTTAGCTCTGGTGTAAAACATTGAACAGAACAGAACATAAATAAATGCTAGCGACTGTAACGATTTAGTTTGAAGATGCTGTTATAACTGTACTCAAAGAATATTTTCCGCATGTTGTGGAACTTAACACAGAACAGCATTGAAAGCCTTGTTTGTAGAGAGAAGAGACACCTTCGCCATATTGCCAACTGGCTTTGGGAAGTCTCTGATATTTAAGGCTGTGCCTCTCCTTGGAAAGAAATTAGGCCTTGTAGTGAAATGCAGTAAATAAGAAACACCGCAAGGCGCCGAGAACAAACAACAACAAACACAAGTAAATCAGTTATGGCTAATATTTCACCCGGCATACGGGGCTTCGCTTGTCGTATTGGCCATATTTGCTGTGGTGAACTTCCAACGTGATGATTCTAACCGCCGCGGTGTCCAACCGCGCTGCCTTCACAGTGAGGAAGTAGACTTTGAAAGTACACAAAATTTATGAGGAAAATTACAAAATACTTATTTTAAGTTGTATACGAAATTTAATAATGATTAACATTAAATAACTGCATTGTGCTAACTTTAATTTCATGCTTCGCATATGTTTTTTGCTACCAAATGGCGTTTTAAACCTGATTTGATTGGAATCTTGAGGCAGAAAGGTCTATTACCGCTGTATTAATAATGTCGACTTTACAGAACTATATAAAACACATTTGCTTTGAGATTTCCCAAAACTCCTCTGACTACTGAGTTTCTTTGTTATTTATCTGACAGTCTTGTTTCACAGGCCTAGTCTGTTAAATAGACTTCAGTTCTTTCAAGTAAGTTCACCAGAACGAGAATGGGGCGCACTAGACCAGACTCTCTATTATTTTATATAGTGAGTCTGGTACCCAGGGTAGCGTAACCCGAGAATGAGGGGGAGGGGGTGGTTGGTTTTCGACGGATGTGGCTTGTTTCTCTGTATTTTGTAAATACATCAGGAATATTTTTTTTATTATTTTATTTATTTTGTCTCAAAATGTAGCTTCTATTTTTCCACCGGGATCATTCTTTTTCCACAAATGGTTCCACAAGAATTGAAGCAACAGCTATAGCAAGACATAATACATGAGACAATTTTTTTAGCTACTTTATTCGACGGTAGCGAGATAAGCTCAAGTTCTTATCAAAATTCAGCCGAAATTCGCACTGCTTTTATGCAGAGATGGACTTACACTTACCGGGAGTATGGGGTGTGGGGTGCTACAACCCCTCCTGTATATTTGTGTTATTCGGTCGATTTCGGTCAAAGCATTGATACTGTTGAGTATGATGAGAACATTGTTTTTTTGTTTGTACTGATGTTGCTGTTAGCTTGGAAGAACTACTGTTTCCAAAATTTTTGCAGACACTTTAGTTTAAAAATTGTAGCCTTTGCTTCAGTCAATAGACATTGCGCGTGCGTGGTTCATACAAAAGTTTTCGGCGTGGCAGATTTTTTGGTATAACTCTGAATTTATTTTCGGACAAATAAATTTTCGAAAAAAAGATTTGCCCTTAAGTTTGTAACGCTGAATATTTTGTACTTAATGTACGCATGATAAAACTGCAGTGAAATAGCATTAAACTACAAAACTGTAAACGTGAACCTATGTTCCTCCTCACGAGCGTTATCCCCCCGTTATCCTCAGAACAAATTGATATCGAATCTTAAAGTAGTTATAATCAGATACGAGTCCCTTTTGCTCTGGACTAATAGGAGATTATGTAACACGTTTTTTTTGTGTCATTTACACAGACATAACGTAATGTCTCAAAAATGTCCGGTTTTTAGAATATATTTACGGGTTTTTTAGAAGGTTCAATTAATGCTAGTTTGTTGAAAGGGGCCCCACAAATATAATATAGCTTTATGCAACGAGTCTAAATGCAAACATAAGTCACTTGAACGGGCCATAGATTAAAACAAGATTATATGGGTTACCTAATTTTTTATCAGGGCTCCCTTCCACCAATAAGTACGATTTTGCGAAACGCAGGGAAACTCAGCTTAAAAGATGAATCCGTAAAATATCTGATCTAAGGATTATTCAGCTATTTAAATATATTAAGGTTTAATGTTTTCTCGGGGCCCCAGACTCGATAAATAAAGCTGATAGGCCTCAAATTCAAACAAGACTCAGTGTACGGACCCAATGAAATTACTGCCATCATTTTCGATATTAACAAATATATCTTTGAATGCATTTTCAGTTTCTCAAAAAAAGATAATTTAAATTGTTTTAGAATAATTAGGGGGCCCCTTTCAGGCCGAGGCCCTGGGACAAATTTCCCCCCTGCCCCCTCTCTGCGCCACTGGGTATAGCACCAGCTGTTTTTTGCCTTTTGGACTCTTGTTCAAGAATTCAAATGATCCAGTAATCATAAGATGAATCAATAGCTATTACCCTAAGTGTGGGCTGTATTTAATTTCATTTTCAAAACTTGTTGCCGGCCAACGAAAACTGGAATGCGGGCCGGAGTTGGCCTGTCGGCCGCAGTTTGGACACCCCTGATCTATACTGCCAGACCATTGGGTAACTCAAATGGCACGAAAAACATGGCGCAAACCAAGATGTCAAAACAGCAAAATTCGTTTGTTTAGATACGGAAATGTTTTGCCATTTTCTTTCCTATCCTCTCTATTGATTTGCAATTTATTTATAAATCCTCGAATTAGCACCTCGGGCGCTGGCTTCTTAGGGGCCGCATACACCAAAGGGCGCACATTTGAAAGGGCGCATATTTGAGGGGGGCTTTCATTAGATTTTTAATGTCAACCACCTCAAACAGTAACAGTATGATAATTTACAGAAACATATCGTGGTACATCAGACAGAAGAAAACAGAAAAAGGAACAACAGGATTAAATTAAGGTTGATTAAATATGATAATTGTTTTTCATGTATTTGTTTTCACCAAGCATCCGAATGTAGTTTTTAGGACACTGAAAAGCTATTCATATCGAGAAGTGTACTGGTCCTTTCTTTCGATGTGACCACACTTAGTTATTCCTATGCCAGGGCCATCCTCGCACCTCAAAGTTTGAAATGAAAGGTTAAATCAAATGTAATAAAGGACACCTACTGCTCAAAGTAAGTTAAATATGGTAAACTGGAAAGCAAGTTGCAGGGACGGATTTAAGCAACAATGATTGGGGGTTTTGGACACTAATCTTGGTGCCACACCCTTCAGGTCATTAGTAAATGTTGGAAACATCCATTTTTAAAATTCTGTTCTTAATAAGAAGCAGTGGCATAGACAAGGTATGAAGATTGGAGGAGCAAAGGGAGAAAATATTTGCTGACCACGCCCTTAGGAATTCGGGAAAACATCCAATTTTGTTACTGTGTTTGGAAAAGCTATGGCTTTTTTACTTAGCAACGGTTTTCTAATCAAACACAATAACCATCACATGTAGCTTTTTGTAGCTGACCACATCATACAACTATCTATTTCCTTCACAAAACCTCTATTGTTTA